TAAATGGCAAGGAGTTTTGGATGTTTAGGGTTGGGTTGGACGGAGTGGGATTTGGTCTGTGGAAACCTTGGGTCCGAAGTTATTCAGGCCTCTCTGGTTGAAGGACCTGGAATTCTCACTAAAACGGATCATAATGTTTGAACGTAAGTCCTTTGGTTTTTGCGAGGGTGTAGGACATGGGGGAGGGTATGATAGGGCCAGGCCCGGGTATAACATCCTCCCGGTCTTCAAAAGAGTTTGTCCTCAAACTCGGAAGATCTTCAAAATCCTCGTACGGGGTAAGATTTCTTCGATGGAACGTGGCAGTAATTTTTAGGCCTCGTGTAAGATCAACCGCGTAGGAGTTTTTGTGAACCTTTGCCAACACTTCAAACGGGCCATCGTCTCGGGGTTGTAGCTTTGACTTGCGTTTATTAAATAAACGCGCCTTATGAACGTGAACCCATACTAGGTCGCCGGGCTGAATGGACCATTTCGAGTCACGACTCTTCTCAATCCTCTCTTTATACGGGACCTGCAAAAGCTCAACACGTTTGGTACAAGGTACCGTTAATGAAGATAGGTCTCCAGCGGAGGTTTCCGAGTCAGGAGTGACGACTTCCTCGTGGGTCTTCTCGTCCTGTTCTTCTTCTTTCATCTCTGTAACCCAAAACGGGTTATCCTCTGCGTCTTCAAACACTTCTTCATTCTCTTTGACAAGTTCTTCATCCCAAATGGGATTATAGTCCTCGTCATCATATTCATCCCAAATAATCTTTGGGGTAGTGGGCTGCATGGTGTTGGTAGTTTGAGAGGGAGGTAGTTCGGACTTAGAAAATTCGGGAGCAAAGGTGGGGGTTGGAACCATGAAGAAAGATGACTTTTCAAGGGTACTCTTGGGGGTTTATGGTAGGTTTAAAGACACGACTTTGGGAACGGATTGGGGTGGGGGCGTTGGACCGGAGTTGGGGGTATGATGGGTAGTGGTTAGGAGGGGTAAAGGCATGGTTTTAGATGATTTTTCAAGTGGGGGTGTAAAGGTAGACGTGGGGATGGTTAGGGCAGTTTGTGGAGGGATGATGGGCATGTTTTTGGAAGAGTTTGGAGGTAGGGGTATTGAGAGGGTTTTGGGGTTCGTTTGGGCAGGGGTTAGAGACAAAGAGGCGTTGGTTATTGAGGAGTATTGGGGCATGGGTGTTGAGGTGATATTGGGGGCAATTTGGGCAGTAGTTTTGGAAGGTAATGGCATGGCGTTAAGTGGTTTTTGAGCCGTAGGTGTGGGAGAGGTTTGGGGAA